GTTAATCAAAAATATCAAAGTACATTCAACTGTTGTTTAAATTATATACACGGATTAGAGTATTATCCATCAATGGAAGTAAACTCGGATATCATTTTTTGTATCAATGTAAATAGTAGCTTACATATTTCTTTACAAAAGTATCCTTTAAATGTAGTCTTTTATAAGGGTGGAGAAATAGAAATAAAGACTTTAAAGAATTTTAAAAATTTTCAATATTTCGATTTAAATAGTTTTAAGTTTCCTAAAGTAGAACTAATGGAATATTTCTATAATGAAATTATGTGCAACGGTCATTTTAAAAACGAAATGTTTAGAAAATCTCATTTGGATCATTGTGCTTAATATGAAACCAAAATGTTAAAAAACTATTTATTAGATTTTATATACCATGTTAAAAGTAATGATGGAAAAAGAGAAGAATATAAAGATTTACTTAATTTAATACGAGAAAACAATCGTTGTGAAGAAGTAAACAAAACAAAATTTAAATGTTTTGACAATGTTTATCTTGTAAATAAAACATATTATACAGTAAAAATAAAAAAATAAAAAAAAGTTATATATTTATTTAAAAAAAAATTCCTTCGCGTTTATATAATACATAATAAAATGTTCAGCTTTATGAATAGGTTTATCGTTGATAATTTCTTGTTTAATAACATCGTAGAGTCGATTGTCTTGTCTAGTTAATATTTTTTAAATGGTAAAACTTCTTTCAAAAAAATAAAACCAATTAGCATAAGGAAACATTTCCATAATTGATTTTTCATAAAAATTACATTGATTAAACGATTTGTATATGTAGACTTTATCGTTAATAGTTTTTACTTTTTCAACTTTAAAATAGTTATAAATGGGTGACGGTGTATAAAGAGTATAAAATCCGTTATGAAATATTTTATCATTGTACAAAAATACTCTATAAATACTCTTGTAAACAAGAAGGATACTCTTCCCGCAAAATTAAACTGTTACGCTTTAATAAATCGTATTCGTATAAATGATCATCGATTAAATAGGGAAACAAAAAATAATATTTTAATGTTAATTTTATTTTATTTTTCCAAGAGGTGCATTTGTTTTCAATAGTGCTACGATAATATCTCTTGTATATTTTTACAAAATGTTCCATTTTATCTTTCAACATTAAGTATCTGTGTTCTCTGTAAATATCGACATTTTTTTCTGAACATCTTAAAAAATCAATGTTGATTATTTTACAAAAATCATACATGTCTGATTTCCAATTAGATCCCTGTTCATTAAATTGAAAATAATGACGTGTAGTTTTTTCAAATACATTTTGATGATTTTGATAATCTTTGATAATAAAAATAAATTACAAATCAATATATTCTTCTTCTGGTAATAACAGTTGTAAATTCCATTTAATTATATAATCTTTTATAATAATTTTCCAATCTTCATAACTGTTTTCCAAATGATGAAATTCTTGTAACATAGGATGAAGTTCGTTGTCTGGATAAAACAACTCTACCGCTTTTTCTAAAGATTGTTCAACCTGCTTGCTAGTCATTTTTTTTTGAAATGATATATAAAAAATTTTGATTTGTGTTTATGTTTTTTTGCTAATCTATATGACTTCATATTAAAACCTTATAAGGAAATAAAAAACTTGTTTTTTTATAATAACTGTTTTTTTTATTAAATTTAAAAATAGAAAAAATACAGGTTTTTTTTAAAAAAAAAAAAAGTTTATTTGTCATCATTTTTTTCGTCTTTAGTTTCGTGTTGTTTTGATTTTTTATACTCTTTACTTTATTGTGCACCTAAATCTTGTGCAGCTCTTTTTATATTTTGATTAAAAGATCTTGTTTGACCGCTTTTAAGTAAAGTGTTAATCATAACAGGTTCTACAGAAGTTTGTCTATCGTATTCTGTATAATAAATTTCTTCGTCTTCTTTTAACATTCGTACGTTTAAAGAGGTAATAGGTTAAGATTTTAATACTTTGTGTTTGCTGTAAGCATAATTATATCCACTGTTTTGTATTTCTTCAATTTTTCCTAATATAGATTCGAAAAGTTTTTTATTTAATTTGGTTTGAGTTGTAATTAAAATAGCATTAAATGTAATTTCCCCTTCACCAGTTTTGTTTTTGAAATGGTTGTCGTCTTTGTTTAACTTCATTTCTGCTCTATACAAATAATTACATGCATCTGCAAGGGAGCATTGTTTTCGAATAGATGCTGGTAATAATATAACTTCTTCTTTGCTTTTGTTAGAATAAACCAATTCCTTTTTTAAAAAATTAAATTGTGCTATAGGTTTTACGGAAACTTTAGAATATAGATTTGCTTTTAAATCTTTTTCGTTTGCCAAATCAATATGCCACAATGTAGCAGCTGCCATATCACCGTATTTTAAATAATTTTGCATAAGATTGCAATTATTGACTTGAGTTTCGTTCTCCATTTTTTTTAGTGTAATGTTTTTTTTTAACTGTTGTAAAGTTGTCGAATGATAAAAAAATAAAAAAAATTTTCTGTTTATATACCCTATTTTAACAATAGAGATTAAAAAAAACAAGATCAAAACAAGTTTATATAAAAAAATTGTCAACGTGTTATTTTAATTTTTTATGATATCATGTTTTACTTTATAAGGTAATATAGTAGAAAAAATGTTAATTGTTACTAAATATAGAATTTTTATTGTGTTGTGTTTTGTATAAAAGAAGCAAGTTTTTTTTCAGAATCATTTCAAAGCATCTCCAAAGATGAGTTTAGAAAGATTTTATACTGTTTATGAAATGGCATATAATGAATTCAATAATTCATTTACAAGAATGACCGAATTACAAGAAGAATGTTCAGAATTAATAAAAATGGAAAAATATCTTACTCAAGAAATAATAAATTTATTAATTGAAATTGAGGAAGAGAGAAAACTTTGTTGTATACATCCAAATTAATAGTTGTTTCATTATTATAAAATATCAAGATTTTTATGGAATAATCTTGAATCAGGAAACTCAATTTCAAAAGAAGAAAAAACAAAGTTTTTACCATTAACAGAACTAGAAATGGAAAAATTGAATAAAGATGAAATAGCTTTGTTTTTTGCGCGTCAAAAATGTCAAAAGTTAAATCGTTGTTTACACGATTGTTTTTGGTGTGAAGATAGAATGTGTTATTTATGTTTATTAGATCATTCACTGCAAACAATGATGAAATTTGATAAAGACAATTGTAAATTTAATTGTTAATTTGTAATATAATTATTTTTGTATTTGTTTTTAGGTTAGTAAAAAAAATGAACAAAAGTAAAGAATTACAAGAAGCTTTGGATAATTTAACAAATTTGATATTATATAAAATAAGAACAAATAATTACAAAATGAATGATCCTTATAGTTTAATGAACATAGATCAAGATGGTATTAAGATTGAAAGAGCTATTGAAAAAATTAAAAATGAAACAAATGTTAGAGAAAGAATTATACGACGTTCGTGATTATTTAGAATTATGTAAAGCTATGAGCGTTATGCTTCAAAATAAATTATCTCATTATGAACGAATGTTGCAAAATAATGAACAATTTTTAAAATGTTATTATTGTCAAATTTATTATTTAAAAAGTTATGTTTATAATTATCCTAACAATTTTTTTCATTGTTATTGTCCAACATGTAAACTATTATACGGTTGTTAATAAAATTAATTTTTTTTATAGATGAAAACAGTAAAAATAATAGATTCTAAAGGTTGGTCTTTATATGCTACCAAAGGAAGTGCTGCTTTTGATTTACGTAGTACCGAAAGAGAAATAATATTACCGTTTCAACGTAAATTAATTTCTACTGGTGTTTTTATATCACAAATGGATCGCGATCTTCAAAGTTGGATTACATCCAAGTCTGGTTTAGCTATACATGATGGTATATCAGTTTTGAATTCAAAACTGGAATTATCGATTCTGATTATAAAGACGAAATTCGTGTTATACTTTATAATTCTTCTATTGAAGCATTTACAACAACATAAAATGTTTTTTTTACAACATAAAAATTATAACATTAAAGTTTCGACCGGAGCTGGCAGAAGACATGATCTTATCATCCAGCCCCGTTAATATAACTAAAAAATTCAGCCGATAAAAATGAAAAAGGAAAAAAGAAACTAAAGCAAGAACTGATTTTAAGAAGAAAAGAACTTAAAAATCAAATTATTATTTACAGAAAGTGAAAAAAGTTAAAAAAAAATATATATTAATTATTTCTTCTCATTATTATTATTATTTTTTTTTAATTCTCTATTTTATTCGACTTTTACTTTTATTATACACGCACGCACACACACATACGCGCACATACACACACATACACACACACATACGCACACATACACACAAATATATGTCCGTTCATATATACATACAAATCAAATAAATCTGTATTACATTCCATCTACAATTTCGTAAGATATAATAAATATTTCATTTACAAATTACGTATTGTAAAATAAAATAATATCATACATGTTCTAAGTACCATACAAAATAATTGTGATGTTGAGTCAATTTATAAGACATTAAATAACTAAGATTACCAAAAGTTTTTAATAATACGATAGTAATTGCTTTGTGTCAAAACCAAATAAGTGTTGTTTTGTTGCACGTTTAAAATGTTGAGTTGAATTTAAAGTTTTTATATTGTTTGTTAAAAGCAAGTTCCATAACCGCGGCCCTCGGCAAGATATCGAAAAATCAGCTTGTTTTGATAATGTTTTTGGTATAATAAAATTATTTGTTGAGTATTTAGTTTCGTATTTGTGGTTTAAAGAAAAAAAATAAGTTTGGAAAATGCTTGGTAGCATACCATTTTTAAACTTAAACATGAAAATAAGTATATTAAGAATATTTTTTTCATAGACATTAGGCACTCCAATTTCTCTTAGTAGTGGTTTGGCACTAGCGTATTTATTTGCATTTAATATCAAGCGAATTGCTCGTTTTTGTATTTTGTAGATCATATTTAACTTTGAAGGATAAGTACTTGCCCAGATAATGTTGCAGTAGCTGATGTAGCTATGAATAAATGCAAAATAAATATTTTTTAAACAATTTGTGTTTAGGAGATGTTTTGTTTTATACATAATACCAATAATTTTTGATATCTTATTTTCTATTACTTTGATATGGTTACTCCAGCTAAGATGTTCATTAAGAATTACGCCTAAAAATTTGATTGAGTATTCTCGTTTAAGTTTAGTTTTATCAGTTAGTAAATCAGGTAGTTTTAAGGGGAGGGTTTCAGAATTTGATAATTTTGTAAAAAGAATATATTTACTTTTTTCGACATTTAAGGAGAGTTTGTTAGCCTTAAACCATTCGTTCAGGTTTTCAAGTTCTTGATTAACAGTGTTAAATAATAGGCTAATGTTTGTGTGGCTAAAGAACACTTGCGTATCATCGGCAAAAAGGACAAAGTTAAGTATGTTAGAAGATAAGTAGATATCGTTAATATAAACGAGGAATAATAATGGACCAAGAATTGATCCTTGTGGAACCCCACAAGTAATGTCTTCAAGTCGTGTTACAGTGTTGTTATATGATAAAGCTTGTTTCCGATTATTAAGGTAAGAGCGAAACCATTTTAAATTGTTATTTCTTATTCCATAATTATATAGTTTATAAAGAAGAATTTTGTGGTCAACAGTGTCAAACGCTTTTGAGAGATCGAGGAATACCCCAAGAGTGTATTTATTGTTGTCAAACCCATTTAAAATTTCATTGACAAGTTTGCCTACAGCGTGTTCTGTTGAATGGTGTTTTTGAAAGCCATATTGGTTACTATTTAGTAGGTGGTGGTTTACTAGATAATTGTTTAGCCTATTGTGCATTATGCGCTCTAATATTTTTGAAATGCATGGCAAAATAGAAATAGGCCTGTAGTTAGAAGCAATCGAATTGTCTCCGCTTTTAAATATAGGAACAACTTTTGCTAGCTTTAGCTGGTCAGGGAACACCCCATTTTTTAAAGACAGATTACAGATATGCAGAAGGGGATATTCAATAACATTGTAGACATTTTTTACAACGTTCACGCTAATGTTATCTAGTCCTGGACTTTTGTTTTCTTGTAAGGTATTAAATGCATTTTTAAGCTCATCCGGAGTTATTTCAAGCTCGTTCATGACTGAGGCTTTTTTTTCTAGATACAGCTTATAGCATTTTTTTCCACGAGTTATTTTATTAGCTAGTTTTTCCCCAATTTTTATAAAATAGTTATTAAATTTCTCTGCAATATCTATTGCCTTATTGGCTACTGTATCATTTTCATCTGTTTTTAAGTATTGCGGGAACACTTTGGTAGCATCTTTTTTTTTTCCTGTTACCTTTTTTATTACGCCCCATGTTTTTTTAGTGTTACCGCAATAATTTTCTAATAAATTGCAGTAATAGTTTTTTTTTGAGTGTTTTTTTAAATTTTTCAAATAAATTTTTGTATTGTTTATATATTTTTTCGTTTTTAAAAGTCTTTTTTTTTTAAAATTTTTCATAAAGTTTTTTTTTTTTTTTGAAGATTTAATAAGCCCTTTTGTCATCCAAGAACTTTTAAGGTTTTTGAGTTTTGTTAATTGCTCAAGCTTGGGAAACGTTTTTTCGTACAAAGTTGTAAAAGTGTGTTTAAAAATATCGTAAGCTATGTTGGTGTCTTTGCAATTAACAACCTGATCCCAGTTTTCCATTGATAAGTTGCCTTGGAACTTTGTTATACTTTTTTCATTTATTTGCCTTTTTGTTGTAATTATTGTTTTGTTTTCTTTTTTATTGTTGAGATTGTTAAGCAGAAGAAATATCGGAAAATGGTCACTTATGTCAGATTTTATTATTTCGCTTTGAATATTACATTTTATGGTAGTATTTGTAAATATGTTATCAATTAGGGTAGCTGTTCGGAGAGTTACTCGAGTTGGCTTATTTATTAAGGGTTCTACGCCGTGCTGTAAGAGATTATTTAAAAAGCGTTTGACATTGTTATTAGTTTTTATTTTTAAAAGATCCAAATTAGTATCTCCCATTATGTATAAGTGCTTATTTTTAGCCAGTTCTAGGTACTGAATTATGTGTTTTTTAAAGGATTTTATATTGCCATCTGGTGGTCTATATAAGCAAGTAATATACGCATTTGCTTTACCTTGGTTTGTTAATTCAACCGTGAAAAATTCACAGTTTGCGTTCAGTAAGCTTAGGCTTTCTACTTTTTTAAACTGTATTGTATTATGTATGTAGAAACATATTCCTCCGCCAGTACCTCTACTACGAGTTTGATGGAGAGCTTTATAGCCTTTTAATTGAAAATTTGAGTTTATGGTATTTTCGTCTTTGCACCATGTTTCTAAAAGGCATATTACCGTAAATTCGTGACTTATGTCTTTTAGCATTTCTTTAAAGTTTTCAAAGTTTTTGCTCATGCTGCGTATGTTTAATGTCAGCGCTGAAAAAGTATTTTGTGACGCATTTATAAAACAAGATAATTCTTCGATACTATAGTAATTAGACTTAAATGAGTCGTTTTCAAAAAATTTTTTGTCAGGGTCATTGTTATTGTTCAGAAAAAGAGTGTTTTCTTTATCAAAAATTTCAAAATATTTTGTTTCCGTCATTGTCATAATTAAAAATATAACTGCTTAAAAAATTAAATATAAGATATATAAATATATTCATACACGTGTAAAATATAAATATAAGAAAGAAGAGTTATTTTTTTTTTGATATTATTTAATTTAATAATTTTATCGTACCTTAAACCAACATTTTCACCATTATCGCGTCGTTCTTTTACTTCAGCCAGGAGTCTTTTCCTAATATTGACAGTCTCATGGGAAAAACCTTCGTTTAAGTAAATGTTTGTACCTTTTAGTCTATATGACTCTTTTAGAATTTTTGTTTTATCATTGTATCTTAACAACTTCATTATAACTGTTCTGGAGCTTCCTTCTTTTCTGGCTCCGGTTCGATGAGCTCGTTCAACTTCTATTCCATTTAGTCCCAACTTATTGACTAAAAATAGTTTAACTTTATCCTCAGTTTCATTCCATGTTTCTTTCACACTTTCTGGTAACCCTTCTATTCTTAAATTATTTCTTCTCAATCTATCTTCAAATTTTCTTAGCTTTTCATTTATATTTTGCGTTGTAATGTTTTCCTTTTCCACTCGATCATTGTTTTGTTTGTGGATAGTTGCAATTTTTTTGCCAAAAACTTCATCATGAAAATTTAAGCTCAATTTTATGTCTTCGATATCTTTTACTATTATCTTTATTTTGTTTGCACTTTCTTTAGAGTTTTCTTCGACTTTGTCAAGTCTCTCATTAATTATTTTTGTATTTGCGCGTAAGATTTCTATAAATATTTGTTGTTGTTGCTTAAGCATTGTTTCCATTTCTTTTCTATATTCCAAAAACATTTCCTTCAGCATTTTTTTAACTTCTACAAGAGTAACTGACATTTTAGATTTATCTTTTTTTTAATAATAATAAGTTTATCTTCTATTTTAATAATTTATAAAGAGCTGTTAAAAAGCGACTGTTCACTGCAACGTTTCCGCAAAAAAAAAAAAAAAAAAAAAAGATTGTCCTACTGTTACTGTAGGACAATCTATTGCACAAATGACTTTTGTACCTGTTTTTTTTTGCAGAAAGAATTTCATGGACTGTAGATAAAAATAAAAATAGTCAAATGGAAATACAATCCAAGTTGACTGATGAAGAAAGAAAGGGTGGTTTTGGTTCGACAGGACTTTAATATTTTTTTATATAATTTTTTTGTAATTTTTTTTTAAGATGTCTAATAAATTTATTGAAATGGTTGAGAAAGTTCTTAATAATATGGAGAATAGTGACAATTTGATAAAAGATGTGGATAATGTAAAACTGATTGAAAAAGACATTAATTGTAAATTTATTGTATATAATGGTGATCAAAGTGATCAATGTAAAATTGAATTGGATGATAATAAAACAGATTTCTGTTATCGAAAACAAGATGCAAGTGATAATCAAATAAAAATTGAAAAATCTAATTTGAATGAAGAAATAAAAGAAGAACTAAGAAATTTAGATGTTAGAGTTAGTATTCCTGAAGAACCAACTGGTTTACCTGACGGTCAAAAGATCTTTGTGATTAAAGATATAGTGAAACGAATGAATTTTAATTCGAATGATTATTGTTCTACTTATTATTCTGCGCCGTTTTTTTATAAAAATTATAAAATGTCAATGAGAATTAATTTTAATGTTGATATCAATTTAAATGATGAAATGATACATGGCGACTATATTGGTATATTTGTTGTTTTAATGTCTCACATTTATGATGCTGTTTTAAAATGGCCGTTTAGTAATAAAAGAGGAACTATATCATTATTGGGAGGGAAAAAATTTAAAAAATTGTTTATAACCAATGACAGTGTTCATTTTCAAAAACCTATTAAAGATTAAATGAATCCTGCTTTTGGATTTGGAAAATTTATAAAAAAAACTGATCTTTTAAATTATATTGTAGAAGATTCTCTTTTTAATAAATGTAAAATTCATTAATTTTTTTTATATTTCATCTTTTTTTTATATTTGTAATTTTTTTAGGTAACTAATAAAATATGTTGTATACCATGATAGCAAAATTAAAAGAAAAAGATGAAAAGTTGGCTGATCAATGTGACAAATTGGACGAATCTTTTAAAAGGAATACATAATGAATATTCTATTGAAGATATAAAAAAATTCAATTCTTCTGTTAGTGCTAATTTGAATAGCGATAAACATAAATATATATACGATAAAAGTACTCTTAATCTATATTTGAAAGTATGTACAAAGTTGATTATCAAATGTAATAAATCTGTTGATCGTTTACAAAATCAAATAAAAAAAGAAAAAAAATATCAAGAGGAAAGAAATGATTCGTTTATTGAATTTATAAAAGATGCAGACGATTGGCCGTGTTGTGCTAAAAACAAAAATTAGAAAGTTATGTATACCAATTTCGATATCCGACAAAAACAGAACTAGTTGAAATACTAAAAAGAAAAATACGTCGCAAATTATTTTGTTTAGTTAATAAAATAGAGTTGATATTAATTTCTGATTCTTATTTATTTTGTAATATGTTTTTATTATAATAATTTTTTTAGATGATAAAGATAATTAAAAAAATGTTAAAAAATCAATTAAAAGATGAACATATTGAAGAGTTGCAACAGTTACAACTATTTGCTCTTAGCGAAAGTTTTGATCGTGATCAATACAAATGTGTTAAAGAAGCTTTTGAAAAACTTGATAAAGATGTGGATATGATCAAGTGTGAACATAATGTATCTGTTGAAGGACTTGAACTTTTACATTTATATACCAAGATTGTATTAGATTTGTATCATCAGTAAACAATTTGTATACAATTAACAAGTTGTAAAGAATTACTTGAAAAAAAGATAAATGTAATGAATAGAATAGGAAAATTGTTAAGGGAGTTGTTACATTATGATTTTGAAAAATGTAGTAACTTATTATCTTTGTAATAAATTTTTTTAAAATAACTAATAATGTCAGACACTATTTGTAAACCATCAGATCAAAAAAAACAAAAGTTAGAAGAAGAAGAAGAAAATGAAGTTCAAATAGAGCCAAAATTACTCGAAGAAATTCAAACTTTACAGCAATTGGCTGATATTGATGATTATAATTATACTGAAATGATAGATTGTAATGGTTTAATAAAAAGTATTAAAACAAAGTATAAGAATTTATTACTTGGCAAATGTTATTATGTTAGCACGTTAAACCAAAAACGTATTTTCGATTTGCATCATAAATGTTGATTTGATTTATATCAAAAATTTAGTTTTTCTACTGCAAGATTGTATCTTGAAATGAAAGAGTTACGCGATATTTGTTATTTTGAAAAATTTATTTCTACTGCAAGATTGGATCCTGAAATCAAAGAAATAGGAGATATTTGTTATTCTATACATAAAAAATGTTATCCGAAAAAAGAAGTTTTGCCTGTTGAAGAAAAATTAAAACTAAAAAACAATTTAGCGTATAATAGATACCTTGTAATTTGTAAACTACATAAAATGTTAATTAAATTTGATAATCAAGTTCGATATTTAAATGATGATTATATAAGTGATATACAATATTTTGGGTGTGATATAAAATCTTTAGAGAAGTGGTGAATCTTTTGAGACATGGTTGAGAAGAGACAAAAAAATATAAAGCTATGATTTTTATTATATTGTATTTATAATTATATAAATGTAAAAAAATAGTTTTTTAAATGGAATTAACAGAAAAAATAGTAAATGAATTGATGGAAAAATTTTTATCACACAATGAAATTCGCCCGTTTACGTTGGAAGAATTGATTATTCAAGCTAAAGAATTTCAACCATTTGTATGTGAAGAATGTGAATTATTGAATGTGAGATGTCAGAATAATATTTTTGATAACGATGTGTGGAATATGTTTTTTCGATACGATTTTATGAGATCAGAAGATCAGTTTGTTGTTATGTTGACAGAAGGATTTAAAAAACATTTTTCACATACAATAGATTGGTTTTTACCACAAAACTTTAAAATATTTTATGATTTTTTTAAAAATTATATATGTGTAAATGCTTTCGTTAAATACGTTAACCACTTGAACAATGAAAATAAAAATAATAAAGATGATGATGAAAGAAAATGATATTATTGTAATAACCTTTATTAATTTGTAATTTTTTTTTCAGTTATAATGAATAGTAAAGAAAAACATGACAAAGATCTTCAAATATTTGGAAAGTGTATACGAATAAATACTGGTATACAAATAAACACCGATGAGTATGTTGACGAATCAGTAATAAATTTACAACATAAAAAAGCATACAAAAGTTTAAAAGAAATTCTTTTAGAAGATGTGGGAATCAAATATTCACGTGAAAAATTTCGATATCAAACTATAGTTAATTATTTTGTTATTAGTTTGAAGAAAGTGTTTTGGACAGCTCAATCTTTATCTATAGAGAAATGTAATACAATGATACAAACTCATTTGATTTGGATAAAAACTAAGAATGAACTTTGTAATAAAGGAATAATAATATCAGAAGATATAATTAAAAAATATAACTACTGTGTATGTACTGTGTACATATGTATGTACTGTGTACATAAAAGTTTTTTGAAATTTAAAATTGAATTAAAAAATAATATGATAGAATGTTTAAATTTGTATACTTGTTGTCCTTATTGTGAATATAATAAAATATGTCAGTATTGTAAATAACATAAAGATAATTTTTTTTTAAATGATAACAGAAGCTAAACTAAATAATATTTTGGAATTGTTAAAAAATGGATGTCATTTCTATTCGTAATAGATATTGTGTATAATTTGTATCTATGGAGTACATGTTGAATGAATTATTCAAAAAAACGGATTGTGAATTTAAAGACGAATATTATTGGGGTTCATTGATATTAACAAATAAAAGACAAGTACAAATAACAATAGCTAGCTTTGTATTAATTTTAGTTTTATCTAAATATAAAAAAGGTGAAATTCCAACTAATGATTTTTTTGAATTTTATGATTTTTTTAAAAATTATCATGACAAAGAAAAATTTATTTGTCAATCAAATGAAAAAATTGAAGCTAGCACGATATGGTTTAATGACAAACGAAAGTTGATTAAATAAAACTCAATGACATTATAAAAACTTTTAGAGATCGAAATATAATTGAATTTTCAATTCCTGGTTCAGTTACTATGATGAATTTTACTTTATCAGATCTGTACGAAAAAGCTTTAGCATATAAATAAACTTGTAGAAAATGTAAAATTATTAAAAATGACGATCAACTTGCTAAACTTAATGTTCCAATTCCAAAAAATTCTAAATTAAATGTTCTAATTGATAAGACAGATTTTTTTTATTATCAAATTTCCTGATAACTATTTAATTTTATTTTTGTTAGAAGTATTGTTGACAAATTTTCCAGATTATAAAGACAAAGTTTTTATGCGTTTTTTTGAAAATTGTAATAAGAATTTAATTATTGATCAAGTTAATTTAAAAGTGTATTATTATGTAAACAAACTTTTTAATTATTAAAAAAAGATTATTTTTTTAAGATGGAATTTACAGAAATAATATTAAATTGTGTAATGGAATCTTTAAAAAAAATTTGTGAAAGAGAAAACTTGACAGTGGCAAAATTACAAGCTAATTATTTAAGATATAACGCAGATTACACTTTAGGAAACGTTTCTGAAATAAACAATATTTTTGAAGAAACAAATAGCTTTATTAACAATCATCGTGTTGTTGTATTAATGATTTCACAATATATAAGACGAAATTTTCATGTTTATTTACATGTAGACTTTAACATGTTTTATCAATTTTATGAAAATATGAGCGAATCAATAAAAAAAATGGATTGAAGAGATACAAATGT